ATGGAACCAGCGTCCATCAGGTTAAAAAACAAAAATAAGTCAAACTCGGAAGGTTAAGGATTGTATGTTTTCTCTCATATGCAGAAGCTAGAAAGGAAAAAGGAAAAAGAAAGGTGGGGGTGGATCTCATAAAAATCAAATGGAGATCAGTAGAGGAAATGGACCAACTGGTGGGAGGCGGAAAGGGTATAGAAAGTACTGGTGAGTGATATTGGCCAAATTACATTGTTATATTGTATGCATGTACAAATATGTAACAACAAATCTCATTATGCACAACTATAATGCACCAATAAAAATGTAGAAAAATGTGCAATTGCTGTCTATCAAAAATCACATATATTTTGAAGTTAACTATTCTCTCCCATTTCTCTTTTTTTTCTTCCTTTCTCTTCCCTCCCCTCCATCACCCTTTCCTCCTCCTCCTATTCTTCTTCTTCTCCACCTTCTTTGTAAGAAAGCCAAAATTGGTCTTGCATGAAATAGAGTGAATGAGGAGATGAATCCAAGATGGATGGGAATTCTCCTTTATCCAGGAATAAATAGGACCAGCTGCAGTTAGGACTCACTACTGTCAGCTATCACAATTGAACTCTAAGAAGCTGGCGCCCTCTGGTGGTTTGATGGCCAAACTTTATTATTATTATTATTTCTGTTATAAAAGGCTTTATTTTATTTTTTTTATTATTAGTTGTTCAAAACATTACATAGCTCTTGACATATCATATTTCATACATTTGATTCAAGTGGGTTATCAACGGCCAAACTTTATTAACGTTTTTGTTTTTGTTTTTGCCTTTTGGTGGTGCTGGGTATTGAACCTAGGGTCTTATGGGTGTGAGGCAAACATTCTACCAACTGAGCTCTATCCCCAGCCCTCAACCTTATTAACCTTAATTGATGGCCTTACTCTACTGAGAAGCACAAACCGTTTCACAATTCATTCACACATTCATTCATTTTACCAATTGTTTTTTGGTGGTGCTGGGGACTGAACCCAGGCCCTTGTGCATGTGGGGAAAACACTCTACCAACTGAGCTATATCCCCAACCTCTCTTTTTACCAATTTTTTTTTTTGAGATGGAGTCTCGCTATGCTGCCCAGGTTGGCCTCAAACTCCTGCATTCAAGCGATCCTCCTGCCTCAGCTTCCTAAGTACCTGGGGCTACCACAGTGCCCAATATTTTAACACATATTTATTGTTATATGTGTTTTAAGCAGCTAGCATATGTCACTGAACAAATCTGATGTATATCTATGCCCTTGAGGAAGTTATTTTCCAACATGGGGTTAGGAACCCATGGGCAGGTTACAAACCAAGAATGTAACAAGAAAGTAAATTATCTAGTATATTAAAGATGGCAGTGCCAAGAAGAAACAGAATAAGCTGAGGGGGTAAAGGAGATTGGAAGTGCTAAGAGGTAGTGTGAAGTATTAAATAAGAAGATCAGAAGCTGGGGATGGTGGCGCCCTCATCCCCAGCCTTGGTCACCCACGCTGAGATGTGCCCTCTGCTCCACTCACCACACCCCCACGTCTGTAATACCAGCAGCCTGGGAGACTGAGGCAGGAAGATCATGAGTTCAAAACCAGCCTCAGCAACTTAGTGAGGCACTTAGCAACTCAGTGAGAACCTGTCCTTAAATAAAATACAAAAAAAGGGATGGGGACGTGGCTCAGTGGTTAAGCACCTATTGGATTCAATCCCTGGTACCAAAAAAAAAAAAAAGAAGATCAGGGCTGGGTTTGGGTTCAATCCCCAGAACAAGGGGGGGGGCAGGGAGAGATAAAGAGAGAGAGAACTCCACAAGTGCAAAGGCCTCCTTGAGGTAAGGCTTGTAAGAGAGGGCCAAGTGAATACCTGGAGGAATAGTTTCCCAGCACACAGGGCACAGCCAGGGCACAGGCCCTAAGGTGAGATGTGACAGAGCTATAGAGGAGGCAAGGCAGCCTGTGCATCTGGAGTGAGGAGCTGGACAGTGGAAGACATCAGTGATGGGGAATCCTCTCCAGTGGTGCCCACCTTAAAAAGCCCTCTGGAGTTACTGATTTGAGAGCTTAGTAGAGGGTGCTGGAAGGCTGTGGCTAGAATCCAATTGAGAGATAAAGGGAAGGTGGCCAAAGAAACGAACTGCTATCCTAGAGGGAGGGAAAGGCCGCCGGGTTGTCTGGTAGCTTTAAATGTCCATGTGAAGCTCATGATCATGGATTTAAAGAGAATCTAGTCAGTGTGGATGTGCTTTTCTCCAGCCATGCTCAGCTGCCTCAGCTACACAGGGTCAGAGAGGGAAGAGGAGCTAGATCTAGCAGACTGGTGGTTTTGCCAAGTATATACAACACAAAAGACAGAGGAACAAAGGGTGGAGATGACTGGAAGGGACAGACTGTGATAGTGACCATGGAATTAAGACTGAGAAAGGAGTGGACAGAGAGGCAGCAAAACAGTGGCAAGATCACAGTGAGAGGTGGGTCACAGGTGAGACGTGCCCCAAGGCTCAGACTGTACTATGTGTGTGTGGGGGAGCAAGACAAGTCACCTCCACAGTCCCAGGGAACTCACTGGGCACCTGCTCCTGGCATGATTTTTCTCAGTTCACATGCTGAAGGCTTGGGCCTAACCCCCTGGGTCCAGTGTCCTCGTCACACCTGCCCTCATCCCCAACCTTGGTCACCCATGCTGAGATGTGCCCTCTGCTCGACTCACCACACCCCCACGCAGAAAGAAGTTGTACTCATCCATATTGAGCTTGCCAGAAGTCTCCAGAATTTTGGCACACATGTGAAAACTGAATAGTAGCTTGTGGCGCTCAAAAAGGGTGCGGCAGGTGTACCTGGGAGAAGGGGACAGGGAGGATGGAATGAGTAGGGCGAAGTGGAGATGGGATATCCAACACAAATGCTCACTGAATAAAGATCCTAGGAACACAGAGCCTTACGCAGAAGAAAGGCCTTAGAACTTAAACCGAACCTCCTGGCAACAGCCAGGCACTATGGGCCTTGAGAGGTGGCGTGATTTTCCCAAAGTTCACTGGAAATTAGGCACTCAGTTCTTATTAGGAAACAAAATATTGATCCCCCGCCCCCCGCCACTGTCCTGCCAGGCTCTCTGCTAAGTCTTAAAGACAAAGATGATCAGCCTCTGTTTCTGTCCTTGTGGAGGTCATGGCAGAGTCAGGAGGCCACCTGCTCTGACACAGAGACACAGGAGCCATCTGTTAGGAAGGTGTGCAGAGCACTATAATGAGGTGGCAGGGGTGTTAAGGGAATACAGGATGGGGACGCCCAGCCTTATCTGGTGGATACATGGGGAGCAGCAGGTTGACTGGGTGGTGAGAGAAGCAGAGAGGTGAGCCCTCCCAGGAGAGCTCAGAGAGCACAGGCAAAAGCCAATGGGTGAGAAGAGCATGGGGCAGGGGCAGGGGCAGGGGCTGGATTAGGCAGTGGTGCCAGGACAGTTGGTGTGAGCTGGGGAAGAGGGAGGCCGAGGCAGGTGGAGGCCAGGCCACAGAGGGTTTGTGGGCCACTGGAGATGAGACAATCACCGAAGGAGTGACAGGGTCAGCTTTGTGTATTTGAAAGGCTCACATGGCATCTCTGAGAGGACACATGGAGAGGGACAAATTGAAAAGTAGGATGACATGTTGAGGGACTGTTGTGCAATTAAGAAAGGAAGATAATGAAGACCTGCATCAAGGTCCAGCTATCGCAGTCAGTGGGGAGAATGAGGTGGGTCAGGGGAGTGGTTTGCAGAAATATTCATGAGCAGAACTGGGTGACTGATTTGAGAGGAAAGAGTCAAGGACAACTCCTCATTTCTGGCTTGAATGACTGGGTGGTGGGTATTGGTGTCATTTGAAGAAGAGGTCCCTGGTAGAAGAGGGAAGATTTTGAGTCTGATCTGAAACAAGTTGAACTTGAGGGATCTGTAGAATGTCCAGGTAGAGAATTCAAAATATGATCAACTGACCAGAAACAACAGCTCCTCTGGGAGTTTGATAGGGATGCAGAATCTCAGGCCCTGTCACAGATCTCCTAAATCCCAGTTTGTATTTTAACAAGACCCCTGGTGCCTTATGTGTGCATTAGCATGAGAGAAGTGCTGGTATAGTAGACAGATGTATATCCATATCCAAAGTGCAATGGGGAGCTAAGGGTATTAAAATGAACAAGCAACCTATAGATTATTCTAATGGATGAGCTTCCCAGGAAAATTGTAAGGAGAAGAGAACAGTGGACCATGGAAGGTGTCCTGGGAAAGTACTCTGCTAGAAATAGCCCGAGGAGAAGAATTAGAGGCAGTCACTTGGCCTCCTGCCTGGCTCATGTGGGGCAGACCATCAGACCTGTAGACAGCGTAGGTGTGGTAATCATTCAGGTAGTCAATGCGGTCCTCCAGCTTAGTGCTTCGATGGCTCTTGTCAATGCTGAGGATAAAGAGGCTGATGTAGGCATCCAATGAGAACTGGTACATGGGGTCGATGTGTCCCATGTCATTGAGCACAAAGAACAGCACTGACGCTCGCTGAGCACACGGGCGGTAAGCCTGCATCAGGAAGGACAGAGTCAGAGTCACAGAGGGGCAGGGCATGCAGCAGAGGCTCAGAGAAGGAAAAAGGACCTTTAGTCAACATCATCAGAGTTGCTTCTTGGTGGCTAGCTAGGGTCAGCTGCAGGGTGCTGGAGCCTACCTCGCGGGCCATGTCAATGTTGATCTCCGTGGTCTCACTGGTCTCCAGCTGCTCTGTCACCTCAGTAGCAGTTATCTTGGATGTCTGCAGGGTGTTCACCAGCTGCACGTCATCTAGCAGGGAGCCTGTAGCCTCATTCAACAACCTAGGGGAAGCCAAAGGGCACATGGATTGAGGGGTTTGGGTACTGAGCTGGAGAGAAGGGGATCATCCGGCCTCTGGGATGCTAGCTAGCTTTGCAGGACCAGCTGGGAACAGACCAATGGGACGGTGGGCAGGAGGGGCAAGATCTCACCGGAGGATCTCGTCCTCCAGCTCCTTGAGCTTCCTCTTGCCAGCAGCGATATTGATAACCAGGGAATCTTTCTGCTCCTCCAGTTCAGGCCGCTCCTTCCGAACCACGATGCCCAGCAGTTGGGCCTCCAGTCCCTGGAAGTAGCAGCACTCATGGTGAGGGTCTCACTCCTTTCTTCCCTTTATGCCTCCCAAGACCCTCATCCTCAGTTGCCAGACTCAAGCATAGCCTTTTACTCTGAGCTTCTTCCATCTAAACTCTACAGCCTTTCCTGCTTCGTCCTAGCTCAGTCTGGGCATCAGTTCTTATCCACCTGTTCTTTAACAGCGAAGTTGACGATGGTGGTCTTGGCTGAGGTCTCTGGGCTATAGTGGGGATTGGAGAGCTTGGTGGTGATGTAGAAACGGAAATTGGGATTGTATTCCACCTCCTTGTCACCAATGCGCATCAGCAGCCGACCACCTGCAATCACAAAAAGGGTCAAGGACAAGAGTCCTACATGACCAGGTATGAGCTGATCCATTTTCCAATAACATCTGGGGTAGTGGTTGAGCCTGTTTTAAAGGCCCAGTCCAAGCCTGTCTGTGCGAAGGGACATGTAAGTAGAAGACACAGCCAAGGAGCCACCCTTTCCTCCCCAGTGTCCCACTTGGCTGCTCTCTAGGACTTGTCCCACAATCTAAGCCCACAGTTAAGCCTGGGATCTGACCAATTCGAGTTACAGATTTGTTGAGCACTGGGTTGAGTGTGGGGTCCAGAGATTCCTGCACATTCTGAAGCAGCACTGGGTGTCCAAACTGGATGGCCTTTTCTAGGACTCGAAGGTAATCACTCATCTGCATGTCAATGACGCTCAGGCCCTAAAAGCAAAGGGGAAAGATCGAAATGAACGAACATTGAGGAATACCAAGTCCCAGGATAGAACCTCAGGAAGAGGCCTGGGAGAGGATTCTATTGGGGTGACCCAATTAGCCCCCCAGTTTTATACCTGGCTTCCCTCCATGTTCTTAATCCATTTCAGGGCCTGGGCCTGAGGATCGATCATGAGGGCCCACCTGAAGGAGGAAGTGTCATTTAGGAGATAGGCTCTGTCCCTCCTCTGCTTCTCACTCCTTACGACATCCTTACCTGTTGCCACGGGTAACAATGATACCATTCTCAGTGGAGAAGGAATCTGAGGGCAACCCCTGGATGTTCCAGTCCCGAACTTTGGTAGGATTGGTCAGGAAGTTCTCAATGGCAAAGTTAGGTGAGCAAGGAACCTGAAGCTCCCAGATCTGGGGAGAGAAGGATCCCAAACTTCAGCTTGAGTCCAGCAGTATACTTATACCTCTTAATATTCCCACCCTAAGAGCTCATTTTTTTTTTAAAGAGTGAGAGAGAGAGAGAGAGAGAGAGAGAGAGAGAGAGAATTTTGATATTTTATTTTATAGTTATCGACGGACACAACATCTTTGTTTGTATGTGGTGCTGAGGATCGAACCCGGGCCGCACGCATGCCAGGCGAGCGCACTACCGCTTGAGCCACATCCCCAGTCCCCCTAAGAGCTCATTTATCTTCCATACCTAGGCCCCACGCATCTCACCTTCTTCATCCAGATTTGGTTGACAATCTCATCCCTGTAGTTAGTCAAGAAGGGTCCCATATAGGACAGGAAGGCAGCTGCCAGGAGACAGTCTCCCACCAGGTATCCCAGGTTCTCCTCCAGGCCCTGGCAGACAGTAGGCAGGTATAAGCTGTCTGGGCCCCAGGCCTTTGGGAGACACTTGGAATGCTTTTGAAGGCACTTCCCCCTGGACCCCATCTAGATCAAAGAGACTCTTTCCTTCCCTTAAACTTTTGTGCTCTGAAGATCTCTAGCCTGATTGTAATCACTTTGGAGTTTCCCACCTCTGACAGCCATGTTTACGCTCTGGTGATAACAACAGAGAGGTAGAGACAAGAGGGCATATATCTATGGTCTGTCAGGTCAGCAGGCTGTTCTTCTGTGTGTTTTCAGCCCTGTCCAAACACTGAAGCAGACCCCCAAAGGTATATAAACACCTTTCCTTCCATATTTTCCCCACAAGTGAGGAGAGGGAGGGGAGGATTCCCACCCGCCTATTCTTGGATTTCTCTACACCCAGGTGACCTTGTTTTCCCTAACTGTCCCTCAGAGGTAAGGGGATAGATATCTAGGAATGGGCAGGATGAGCAGAAGGGGAGCCTGGTGCTGTGATCCATCTCACCTTTGCTGTCTCCTCCCATCGGGCCTTTTCACCAGCCAACCCAGACACCAACATCCCAGCCCGCTCCAGCTTGAGCTCCATCTCTTCAGACTTCTTGCGAAGCTCCTCCTTCTGTGCCAGCTTTTCATCGTACTGCTTCTTTAGCATCTCCAGCTTCTCCGCCACCTTGGAGGGATTAGAGAACAGAGCATGGAGTGCTGGGCTCAAGGCCAGATGGTTCCAGTTCAAATCATGTTTGCCACTTGGTAGCCTTCTGACCTTGGGTGAAATACTCTCTTTGAATCTCAGTTTCCCTCATATGGACAATAAGAATAATAACTATCCTATAGGACTGACATGAGGAGTAAGGGAAATACAATAGTCTCCTTTCCCTTCTGTCCACTGCCCTGTCCTAGAGCCCAGAAACTACTTGGGCAATAAAACTCAAGGCTGGGTATGGGACAGAGACCTTCTTGAAGCATGATAAAACACAGAAGAAACTGGAGATATGCTCAGTGGTAAAGTGCTTGCCTAGCATGCACCAGGCCCTGAGATCCATCTCCAGTACTGCAAAATAAAAATAAACCACACGGGGCCTGGGGATGTGGCTCAAGCGGTAGCGCGCTCGCCTGGCATGCGTGCTGCCTGGGTTTGATCCTCAGCACCACATACAAACAAAGATGTTGTGTCTTCCAATAACTAAAAAATAAATATTAAAAAATAAATAAATAAATAAATAAATAAACCACACGGTATATACAGAGATACGAAAAATTGTGCTCTATATGTATAATGAGGATTGTAATGCATTCCACTGTTGTCGTGTATTTAAAAAAAATAATAAAATCAATAGAAAAAATTTTAAAAAATAAAATAAGCATAATAATTTTTTCTCTGAGTTATAATTGTAAAGATTTAAAATAATATAAACATGTTGAAAGAAATGTCTATCTCCTAATAAATCAATGGATAGATATAAAAATTGTTATTGCCAAAAACTATTTGAAAATAAATGAACTATTCCTGAAGTCTTAAAAAATAAAATAAACCACATGGGCAGAGCACTTGCCTCACACATGTGAGGCACAGGGTTCTATCCTCAGCACCACATAAAAATAAAAACATAAAAAGATACTTATCCGGGCTGGGGTTGTGGCTCAGTGGTAGAGCGCTTGCCTAGTACAGAGCCCTGGGTTGGATCCTCAGCACTTCATATAAATCAATTAAAAAAATAAAGGTGTTTTTTAAAAAAGGATACTGTATCCATTTACAACTAAAATAAATAAATAGATAAAACACATTATATAGGTTGGCAAGCTAGGTTCAGATAGTGTAGAAACAATTGTTGCTCTATGCCAGAGGCTATATCTCAGGAAGAAACTTAAAAGAGGAAGTAAAAGCTAGAAACAAACTCTTAAGAAGAGAAAGTCCGGGCAAGAGAAAGAGCCAAGTCTTAGGCCCTGCCCACACCAGAGCTGGGCACCTGGGAAGACCTGTGTATGTTGGATAAGCCTGCCTCAACCCACGGCCACTAGGCCACCCACCTCATTCAAAAGCAAAGGACTGGTGCAGCCTTGTCCAAGATCCTGTGTGTGGGCCTTGATGGCCTGCTGTCACTGGGCTGGGGTACAGACTGTATTGCCTGCTCTTTTTGCCATGAGGAACATGGGGGTGGGGTGACACACTGAGTGCATACTATAAACATTAAGTCCCTCCCCAGTTGTGTCCCACTCCCCACTCGGAGAATCAGCTTGCAACCTTGGAAAAATTCCCACTATTATAAAGGAGAAATAACTCGGTTCTTACTGAGTGATACCAAGTGAGTTTCAACCCTCTGGAGCCTTGTCTGGGTTGTTGTAAATGAGAGTCAATGTGAATCGTAGCACAATGCCCAGATAAGCAAGCAGTATGGGAGCACAAGCACTTGGAAAGGGGTGAACAGCTCTCCAAAAAATATTTTTTAAGACAAAGTGGAAATTCAAAATGTCACCTCTAGGCCTATAGGTTCAGCTTCAGTGTCAGAGAGTTATAAGATATTAATGTCTAAAGAAAAAAAGTGTCTGGGCTAGGGTTGTAGCTCAGTGGTAGAGTGCTTGCCTAGCACTTATGAGGCACTGGGTTCGATCTTCTGCACCACATAAAAATAAATAAATAAAAATACAGGTATTATGTAGAAAGAAAAGAAAGAAAGAAAGAAAGAAAGAAAGAAAGAAAGAAAAGAAAGAAAGAAAGAAAGAAAGAAAGAAAGAAAGAAAGAAAGAAAGAAAGAAAGAAAGAAAGAAAGAAAGGAAAGAAAGAAAGAAAAGAAAGAAAGAAAGGTGTTAGGCTAAGAGATACAGCTCAGTGATAGATTGTTTACCCAGCATGCATGGGAGTTCAATCCCCAGCACTACAAAAAAATAAAAGAAAAAGAAAGAAAGAAAGTATCACCCAGAGTGGGCATAGTCAGCTGGACCATTCAGAGGGAATGCCAGCTGTATGGGGGCCCCCACAGTAGAAGGTGTCCTGGCCCCTTAAACATGTCAGGTCTAGCCCTGATGGAGCATGCATCTGGTGGCTTTTGCACTGAGAGGCCTGTCACCAGGATCATGTGATCCCTTCCTGTACTAAGGCCACTCTCATCAGCAACATTCTGATAGTAATTTGACTTCCTGTGGAGATATGTCTCTGGGGAGGCATCCATACCACTTGATAGTTCTATATTTTGTTTAGTTTGCATGTGGCCTTGTTATCTTTTCTGGGTTTTTTTATGAGATATATACGCACAAAATGAAAAACCTGTTATAAGAAATGGGCATGGTGGCACGTGTCTGTAATCCCAGCTCCTCAGGAGACTGAGGAAGGAGTGATACCAAGTGAGTTTCAACCCTCTGGAGCCTTGTCTGGGTTGTTGTATATGAGAATAAATGTGGATTGTAGCACATTGCCCACATAAGCAAACAGTATGAAAGCACAAGCACAAATAAATAAATTTAGAGACAGGGCCTTGCTAAGTTGCTGAGGCTTATCTTCAATTTGGGATCCTTCTGCCTCAGCCTCTTTAGTGGCTGGGATTACAGGTATGTCCCACACTGCCCAGACCCAAATGGATAGAATTCTAAATAAATGGTTACACACTATGATACTGTTCTGCACTTTGCTCCTTTTTATTTATTTTTTTTTATTTTAATCTTTTCTCTTTTTAATGTGGTACTGGGGATTGAACGCAGGGGTGCTCTATCAGTGAGCTACATTCTCACCCTCTTTATTTTTATTTTGAGACAGAGTCTTGCTAATTTGCACAGGCTGGCCTTGGACTTGCTATTCTCCTGCCTCATCCTCTTGAGTTACTGGGATTACATGCACGGATCACAGTGCCCAGATTACTTTACTATTTGGGGGGTGTTCTTATTTGTTTTTTCAGTGCTGGGGACAGAATCCAGGGCCTTGTGCATTCTATGCAAGCGCTGCTCTCACCACTGAGCTGTGCCCTCCCCCACCCCTGCCTCATTCTTTTTAACAGCTGCAAAAAAAAAAAAAAAAAAATTCTTGTGATTGATCCATAACTTGTTAACCAATCTATGGAGACACATTTGTCTTTTTCTAACCTTCTATTATTCAGCATGCTGTATAATAAATATCCTTGAACATGCCTAAGCACACCTTTATACTGCTTTTTCTTTTTACGTTTAATTGTTTACTCTGTGAATAGAAATTTAAAAATTCAAAAGGCACAGAACACCAGGACCAGGAAAGTCTTTCTCCAGATCTTGTTCCTACCTTCCACCTACCCAGACCTCTTCTCTAGAGGCAGCCAATGTAACCCGCTTCTTTATCTCCTTCCAAAGGTCTTCTATACACACAAGAGTATATTTAATACTGCTTTTCCTCACATATTAATTTATATTATTGAACCCAGGGCCTTATACCTCCATACCACTCTCCTTTCTCTTTACTAATAGTTTTAGTTCTTCTACTGGTTATCTTTTCTTCTCCCACCAGGACTGGGGATTGAACTCAGAGACACTCTACCACTGAGTTACATTCCCAGCTTTTTTTTTTTCAAGTATTTTCTAGTAGATAGATACAATCAATCTCTCTCTCTCCCTCTCTCTCTCTCTCTCTCTCTATCTATATATATATATATATATATATATATATTTTTTTTTTTTTATGTGGTGCTGAGGATTGAACCCAGTGCTTCACACGTGTGAGGCAAACACTCTACCACTGAGCTACAGCCCCAGTCCCCATTCCCAGCCTATTTATTTATTTTGGTACTAGAGATTGATCCTAGGGCTGCTTTACCCCAGAGGTACAATCCTAGTCCTTTTTATTTTTTTGAGACAGGGTCTTGCTAAGTTGCCTAGGCTAGCCTAGAACTTGTAATCTCCTACCTCAGCATTCCCAGTAGCTGGGCTTGGCATGCACCACCATACCTGGTTTCTACTGGTTACCTTTTTCGCTTTAAATAACGTTGAAAACTTTAGTTTATCTGGGCATGGTGGTGCATGCCTATAATTCCAGTGGCTCAAGAGGATGAGGCAAGAGGATCACACGAGTTCAAAGCCAGCCTTAGAAACGTAGCAACGCCTTAAGCAACTTAGCAAGACCCTGTCTCTAAATTTTAAAAAATACAAAAAAGGGCTGGGAATATGGTTTAGTGGTTAAGTGCCCCTGGGTTCAATCCCCATAAAAATACAAAAAAAACCCCTCAGTTTATGGGGTTGAGAATATAGCTCAGTGGTATAGTATATGCTTAGTATACACAAGGCCCTAGGTTTAGTCCCCAGCATCATAAAACCTTGGGGCTAGGATTGTAGCTCAGTGGTAGAGCATTTGCCTTGCATGTGTGAGGCCCTGGGTTCGATCCTCAGCACCACATAAAAATAAATAAATTAATAAATAAAGGTATTGTGTCCATCTACAACTAAAAATACACACACACATATGTACATATTCAAAACAAACAAACAAACAAAAAAACCCTTCAGCTTCAGGAGTATTGCCTATTCTTTCCCTCACCAACCCCTGAACCCCCTTCAACTTTTTCAGCTGTACTTTCATTTTTACATTGTCAGGGTTGACCACACCTACATTCGGAGTGTAAGATGAGTCCTCATGTTTTGTATCCAGGCAGATTCCAAAAGTTGAATGTCACAAGCAGTGTTGGTGGTATCATGATCTGAGCAGATGCCCAGATGCTG